TTGACCACAAGATGAAACAAAATAATCACGCACACTATTTAACTCCTTAAAGGTTTCAGATACTGGAGCCCCATATCTTAATGATAACAGCTACTGCAGAAAATGTCTTGGTTGTACCAGAATCATTTGACATGAAATTATATATACCTGTAAATATTTCTGACAGCTGCTGTTCCAAATCTATGGTTTACTGACTTCTCTCTTATGGTTTGCCTGCTGAAACTGCAGCTTTGGCTTTGATCAAATCATAAATTTACTAAATCTAAATTCAGGTGGGTAGCTGCGTCAGCATGCGTAGGCTGCAAAGGAACAAGTAATAGGTTTATTCCATGTTGAAAAAAAGAAGAAAGAGAACTTCTTGAAGAAGGCTCCACGGCCGAAACGTTGTGTTCTCTTTCTTCTTTTTTTCAGCATGGAATAAACCTATTACTTGTTCCTTTAAATCTAAATTCGCCAACACCAAATTCTCGGCCTTTATTTATATCTCATTATTGTATATTTCTTTATGAATTCAAACAGTTTTGGGAGGTATCTCCTTTGGAACATCCAGTGAAGGTACTGTATCTATCAAAGCATTACTTGTCTTTTTTGTCTCCATGAATAATTATAAATAGTAGATAATAAAAATTATCAACTTGTATGCTGATATTTGAAAAATGTCTAATGTGCCAGAAAGTCCTGTTTCCATCTTTGGTTCTATACCAAGTCTCTGCCTTTCTTTAAAGGATTTAAAACCATTAAGTTTTGTATTAAACACATTCTTTTGAGTATATTTTATACTATATACTGTAGTTTTGTATTCAGGTTCATGGTAAATACAAAAAGAGATAGTACACTGAGAAACGTTACCCCATAAAACACACAGAGCAAGGCAACTAACTGTAAGGTCTAACCGCACAGTCCATCACAATCCAACTAGTTGTATAGGTCACCTGATCTTAAAGATCATAACACCTGTAAGTTATTGATGTTTCCAAAAAAAATTATCTGCTCAAGTAAGAGAATTCTGGTATTTGAGAGTTGAAGGATACTTAGATTTTAGTCATAAATGACTAAATTTAACTTTCTGTATCATGGATTGCAATGAAATCATTTAATATCTTGCCATAAATAAATGATTGTCTTCTTCATTACAAATTGTTAATGATTATTTTTGTGTCAGCTCATTTTGAAAAAAGCAATTGCTAATTATCTTATCTTACTTCTTCAACCCTTGTACTGCAAAAGGAGAATTATGACCTGACAAGGCAACTCTCCAAAACTGTCCTGCAGTGAGATTCTTCAATATTTGCACTAAAACGCTCCACATACTGTATTTAGGGTAGGTAACATCAAACTGGGAGTTGTCACAGAGTAGATGCAGTTGTGCATTGCTTTCTCTTAGACGTATGAGATTTAATTTTCATGATGATGTGGTTTATTGTGCCTTACATTTCACATGGATCACTTTTTTTCTTATTGTGCTATTTGTTTCATCATAACACAAGGAAAAAAAGCACTTTCCTGATAAAGATAACAGCAGAAGAAAAACAAACAGAAGTTTATGAATGGAGCAGATTTCCTGATTTGCATACTGTACATATGTTCAACATTCCCATTAGGAGGAAATTGTTGATGATAAAAAGTTCCTCTTAACTTAGAAACAGCTGATTAAAATGGTGAATTGTGGGCAGCTGTTTTTTTTCCAGCTATAAAATGCAAATTCAAGTCTCTTTCCTGGAGGTTATTCAAAATTTTATTGTGTAGACATTACTGTTTAATGCTTAATGCATTTAACTAAATAAGGATAATACTTCACAAAGCTCAGGTAATTAAGATACTGTTCAACAGAAATACAAGTGAAACTGTGCATTAAATGACTATTAGAAAACTACAGTATACTGTATGTAATAAACCAAGCCTAGCATCAAGAGCAATCACTGATGAGCAAAAATGTAAATTAAACATTGTGAGATGCTTTCTTTGTCGCTGTTTTTTGTGAGAAGAGGAGACTAATGAAATAATACCTTACTCAAAGAAATAACAGCTATGCATGACTTAAAATAGAACTATATCTAATAATTAAACTCTGTATTAGATGATATTTGCATGTACAACAGTGAAACATATTGTTCATTGTTTGATAATAAAACATATTTCAGGGAAATGTCCCAGAACCTGCAGTATATGACAACATCAATCCTAGGAACACGTCAATCCTTTGAAAGATGCTCAGAAGAGAGTACCACTGAAGAAGAAATGTGTCAGTTTGGTCGTGTTTTGTTTTGAAATAATGAAATGATGAATAAGAAATGATTCACAAAAAAGCAATGTCTCGGACCAGCAGACTATGTTTGTCTCAGAAAAAAAACACAAAAGAAAATAGAAAAAAAAATATGAGTGCTTTTAGAACTCACTTGCTATCAGTAAGCTAAGGATGTAATACCGATATAGAAAAATACCTTTATTTAGCTAATATCCACTCCATGGCAAGATTTTTCTCAAAACTGCAGACATATGGTTGAGAACGTATCTACTGTACAGTACACCGGAGAAGAAATACTTGACTTAATGAGAGAAAGTTATAACATGAGCCGCACATGTTTTGGCTTGTATGGTTTCATTGGCACAAAAGAAAAACAGATAAAGGCAAGCGATACATCCATTTCAACAGTTCATGCCTCGGCACATTGCAATTGAGTTAAAATATTGCAACAACTAACAACAAGAAAAATAAAAATGGCTGAGTCATGTGTCTGATTAGTGGTTGTTTTACATATGTTTTTTTGAAAAAGTCTTTCAAAAAAACGTTTTGCATTTTCTTTCAGTGCCACAAAATTCCAATTTGATGTTTTTATGGTGGCTTTCCACACCCTGTTGTTCATAAGTATTTTGCAAAAAGCCATCACCCTTTAACATGAACCTTTTGCACTTACTGTATGTCCTTTAATTACTTTTCACTGGGTTTCCATTGTTGCTGTACAGTATGCGCAGAGCCTAAAGCCTCTGAAACGGTTTACAATGTTCTAGTGTTGGAATAGGTAACAAGTCACTGAAAATGCAAACTATGCCTTGACATCAGTACTGTACTGTAAAGAATTTTAAAACTGTGATAGCTGAAAGCATTATAGATTTACATAGCAAAAAATTAGGTTAGAGGTTAATGATAGTTTTCAGACCTAGAATAATCTGTGTTATTAATTGGTAGTAAGCATAAGAGGTATAGTGTTAAGACTGCTTATCTTAGATTTCTTGTACATATTACACCTTTGCTAATGACACCTGCTATGATGACCTCAGAAAGTCACATAAATCCCTTCTACTTGGCCTGAATGAAAAACTTGAGACCTGTTGCATGTGACAGAAGTTGTAGATGTTGTACAGCTCATTTCACATCTTGGTCTCTCTGAATTCTTGTGGAGACAAGAGTCTGCTGAGCAATTACTTGTTTTTACTCGGTAATACAATTCAGAGTGAAGGCATGCTTCCTTGCTGAAACTATAATAGGAATAAAATATCCTGGCAAAGCATTCCCTGGCATCAGATGAGGAAAACTGCAAATAAACAAATCTGGTGAAAACAATGGAAAAAAAGGATGGATACAAAAATATTAAATGAAAACTTTGCACTATGCAAACTGACCCAGACGTTTTATCATATTAATCTACAGAATCACATTAACTGTAAATTTTGATATTAGAAAATGTAATTGAAAAAACGTATTAAGACCAATGAGTTCGGTCTTTTCCTAAGATAATCGTGCGATACTGGAATGCTGCTTTCTGGGACTCTCTCTGCCGTCTTGGAAAAGGTAAACAATTTGAACACTACCAAGTAATGCTCGGAGCTATTCTGTGTGCTTGCATGAGGTGGTGCTGGTCTGCGTGTGAAGGCACGCAGCCGAAAGAGGTTTTCAGCTTTGTGTCTGGAAAAAAAAATGTGACTGCATGCATTTATGGCACTAACAGAACGATTTGCTTTACTTGGTGAAGGGCGTCACGAATGATGACCCCCTGAAAAAGACAGACGAGCAGGGTTTTCAACAAGCAGGCAAGGAACCACTGAGGGTACTTGGACACTGTCCAGGAGACCCACAGAAACTAAGAGACACATTCCAGCCTTCATGTGCATTAGAGTGAATCAGGCTCACTCTCGAGTGGACCTATAGCTGTAACAGGCTTCCTTACTGGGGAAGAGTTCACAAAATGTATACCACCTAACAGAACAAACTCCTGCTGCCGAGAATGAGACACATTGAAAAAACAGCTGTTTTGTCCTCACTAATCCATTGGGGCACTGGAAAATGCCCCACTTCCGAAACACTGTTCAAACCATGGCCTCAGGTCTATATTGTATGTTTTCCAAACATTTGTTTTTATGAGGTCTTTTGTCACTCTGCTACACTCAAAATGAAGTAGTGTGCTTGCTCTTAGATGTGAAAAAAATACAACCATCCATTAGATTACATGGGTGATTCCACGTAAACAAACTTCAAAACCAGTTCAAAAAGGAAGGCACTCCACCAAAACAATCTTTAGAAATGTTATCATTATCACACCTCCCTCTTTAACTGGGACATAAAAATGGGAAATACAACTGAATTCTGCACTGAAATGATATAAAATTAAATTCTGTAATATTGTAGCATGTTCTGGATTTTGGGAACATTACAAACTAGTTGGAACTAGTTGCAAGTTGTTTTAAATGATGTCACCTGTGTGGATTTTATCAGTGGTTAGGTTGTATGCCTGAGCAGCGTAATAAAGCTGAAATGTACTTGAAGTCTGAATTCCTGTTTTGGTACTCATCACAAAATCCCACAATACACAGAAACACCCCTAAATCTTACAACTATAAGCATTTGAAAATGCAGAATCTGGATTTGGTAAAGGCCTATGATGACCATACCCTTCATTGAATGTTTAATAATACAAACACTACACTGAATTCCATTTACTTTAAACTTTTTTCACCTACAGTATGATATTTTTCAACTTCAAAGTAGAGCCAATAACCACCTGTGGGAAGTTAATGCTTTATTGATAGATCCCAATAAAACATCAAAAAGTCACAACATTTATGTATAAACATGTAACGTCAGCAATCAATATAAAACTCAAAGAAAACAACAAGTGAAGAGCATGCTTTTTGTCAAACATGTTAAAGTAGCATCTCTTTTCAATGGCAAGGAGAGAAACTGGCATAGTTTTCAATAAGGTGCTCTACAGCAAGAGAGCTACATTACTTTAAAATGATCCAAAAACATTCTTTCAAGATTTGTAAAACTTACATTTGGTTTTTGACAGCATTGAAACACTTATAATGATGCACTTGTCTCCGTATACATACTGTATATAAAACATTAAAAAGCTGCTTGCTTACACATACGAACTCATTACTTTCATGTAATGCTTTACAATTGACAAATTTACTTGATTTACCTCATTAGGTAACTGTTTCCGGTAACTTCTAGCTTGACACACAGTGCCAATAAAGGTGAACAACATGATTCTTGAGGAAAAACCCAGTAACCATGACTGCTGCAGAAAACATTTGCAACGAAAATCAAAATAAGTTTGAGTCCTGCATACTGTAGCTCCTTAATTACCTCCAAATCAGCCTATGCCAAGAGAACTTTGATTCACAGACAGGCAAATGTTTAATTTTTAGGATTTGTTTTGATACCACATTATTATGAAAATGAAATTTACCCCCTCCCAAAGGAAAAACTAAGGGAGCTTTTTTGTGAAGCAGCATACTGTATTTTCCACAGCTCTACATGTAATCTATGAATTTACCCAACATCCCCGCCTTCCTACATAATACAAAAGATGCTAGCTATTTAATACTGAGGAACACAGGGGACAAATGTTCTTTATATATTTTTTTTTTCTTTTTCTGAACAAATTAAATAGCTGGTAGTTGTACACAAACACAGGTTGTAAAGAGACCACACCAAAACTGTTTTCAACAATTCTGCCAGTCAAATGTGACTGTTCATGAAGAATAAAGTCATTAAAGATACAATATGTATCAACATGTAACCACTTATTTCCTGGTTACGAGAAAAGCTCCTGTAAAAGCATTAAATTTATTTTTATAACAGGCCAGGAAGTGATTTTTCACCTGAATTCTACATTCTACAAATATAACTGAATGGCAAGATAAATTTCCCACTAATATTGCCTCTTCTTATACAACGAGCTGCTCTTACTGCAAGCAATCCTCAGACTAGAAGGCAACTACTATTGTAATCTATCTCAAGCAAGTGGTAACTGAAGATCACATGCTAGTAAAATCCCAAGCTTCAAAATACTATGATAAAAAAACATGCCGAGACACTCTGAAATGCAGAGGGGGTATTCCAAGGTCAGACAAAGCACCCGATGTTCAAAAACATCCACCCTGTGACTTGAGGGTTAATATTTCAGCAGCAAGTCTCTGGGGATCCAGCAGGTAAGGGAATATGCTCATAACTTTGTCTACTTGATAGGGGTTAAAGATGGCAAGCAGCTTCTTACGGACCTCCTCCCTGTCCTTGTCATAGTTACCATGAGGCTGAGGCCACTGGTGCTGGTCATTAGATACTGGACCTGTTATGTGTTGAGGCATTCTGTGGTCCTGAAGGCTGCCCGATCTAGACTGTGGAGCTACTTGGAATGGATCGGACCAGTATTCCTGAGCATGGACAACACCTGGGCTGTACTCATTCGGGAGGCTATAGCGATTTACAGCAGCTGGGTATGTAGGCCTCCCATAAGCTGAAAAGCAGTGCTGGCCACGTCCGAGAATATTGGGATTTTGGGAGCTGGACAAATCCTGATTGAATGGCTGGAGATTTGCACCAGCTGACATTGCTTTATGAGAGCAGCAGCTGTACTGCTGGTAGCTGTCATGCCTCTCTGGGTTGTTAGAGTGCAAATAGACTTGCCTGTTGCCGAGACAGCAGCAGGGTGCTCTTTGTTCGGTCACATAAGACTCGGAATGACATGCCTGACCTCTGGACATTTCAGAATACTGGCTCTCATAAGATCCCAGGCCTGAATCCAGATGCTCTTGAGAGTTAAAGACAAAGGAGTCCATATTGGTAGCAGATGGATGGCTGGACCATTCTGATTGGCTAAAGGGGATCTTTTTGGAAGGCTTTCTGCCTGAGGGCATTCCTCTGAGCACAACCACGTTTTCAGTCACATGACCCTTCCTTAAAGAGTTGCGTCGATCAAGTGTCAGCTTCTGTTCGATATCCTGTTCCAGAGAAAACACGGAGCTGTGTTCCGGATGCGGGGATTTGTGGGACAAGGCGGGCTTCTTGTCATCCTTCAGGGAGCTGGCAGGAGTCCCAGCCCTCACAGCTGATAGCTTAGCATTCTCCCGGAGTTCATCCGCCACTGAACGCTGGGTCTGGTTGATCCGCTCCGGGTGATAGAACTTACATTTGATTCCATATGTGCACTTTTTCCCTATAAGGAAGCAAAAGCATACAATGAACACAAACTAAGTGATCTGGTACTTTAATACTCTGCAGTGTTGTTAGGCTAGAGTCAACAGAAACAGAGTTCAGGTGGGGAGCTGCGTCAGCATGCGTAGGCTGCAAAGGAACAAGTAATAGATTTATTCCATGCTGAAAAAAAGAAGAAAGAGAACACAACGTTTCGGCCGTGGAGCCTTCTTCAGGTGTGGAAACCTGAATAGTTAAATAGTTAAATAAAATTAGAAAGGTGGCAACAGAAAACAATATTCAGTTTCTACTTTTTATAGATGAAATGTACTTAGGTAGCTTTTTTTAAAAAATGAACTATATATAGAAGAATTAAAAACACAATCAATGTTTTGGTACTAGAACCAATTACATTTGATATGTTTTAAATGTCTTTCAACAGAATTCAATTTACAAGCAAAATGTTCACAATTTGCGAGGGATAATTATCCAAGTGCTAACATCTTGATCAGGTTTGAGCTGTGTTCAGAAATGTGCTCTTGAAGGGTCTTACCATATGGACAGTGCTGTCGTTTTAATTCCTGGACCAGGGGTTTCTTCCTGAGGAAATTATCCAAGCTGGGACCATGGCGTCCAAGTGGATCATCAGGAGGCATAAATCTGAGTGAAACAGAGAAACATTTAGGCTCACAAACATACAGAAAATCATTTTCTACAATCCTAAATTTACCATGTGCTAGATGCTCGGTCAAACTCTTTCGAAAAAGAAGTCAGCATCTCCATATCACGAAATGACAAAGAAATGTTGAAATAGCATAAGAGACAAGCAGATAACAGAGTATAGGTGACTTATCATATTCAGTGTGTTGCAGGCTTATAATGAAAGCAACAGGTGTAAACATGGTCCTTAATTAAACATTTTTTTTGAAATCTAGAGCAATGAAGCGAAGAAAAAAACCCCAAAACTGTCAAAGAGTAAAGTACAGTGAGCTAGGCTGAACAGTATTTGACACAATCATTCACTCTAGAAAAATGGGCTGCATAAACTGGCGCGTGGCTCCGATTAAGGTAGTCTGAGGGAAGACACGCGTGGTCCTCACCATCTGTCCCACGCTTGCAACGCCGAGACAAGCTGATTAACAACACAATCACACACTGGATGGGTGGAGGGTTTAAAACGTAATGGAATATGTGGCTCAAATCAGCAACATTGTATAACGCTTGCCCACAGCCGGGGGATGCTGGGCCGCAAGGCGGGCAGCGCCTTCGCTCACTTGTCGTTGACGAAGGAATACATCAGCAGGCGCTCCTCTATGAAGCGCCTCCACTCGGGCCGCTCGCTCTGCAGGTCGCGGTAGGTGTCGTTGGACACGATGATGCCGTCGGACTCGTGAGCCAGCTTGACGATGAAGCGGTCGTCGTAACAGACCACCCGCTTCCCCCCCACCCGGCGGGAGGGCGTGAACACCACAATCTTCTTCCGCTCCAGGTCTCGCAAGATGTGCTGGTCTAGGAAAAAAAACACGAGAACCACGGTGGAACCATGAAACCTGGAACAAAAACATTGTTTATGCATATCCTGATCTTATTCTTCATCATGCATCTGAAAGATGCCATCTCAGGACAGTCTGGCCGTCGCCTTTTAATGAGGAAATGAAAAAGATTTTATACTAAAATTCCCCAGAGAAGATGTAGGTATGAAGCGATCAGCAGATAAATCACATTTGAAATTCTATTTCCTTGTGGGGCTTTCCCAGCTGCGTTTCGGTCTCCTTTCTTCCTGGTGTTCTGTAGAACATTTACCCTTTCAAACCCTCGCTCACAGAATTTGATTTCAGAGGGCAGGAAAACCAAACTACATGGTCCAGCTGCTGAAGCTTTAGAAAACTAATATTGAAACAAAAAACCCTGACAAGACAGTCATAACCTGCAGGTATCTCCATTAGTGCAGCAAGAAGCCAGGGAAAAGGGATTAAAGTGGTTTATCATTCACTTACTCAAAGGTTCATAAACACTTTCAAAAGCTTGGTCAACTCCCCTATCAAAGTACTGCTGTGATCTTTGCACCTTTTATAATGTAATAACACATTCAACCCTTAATAAAGGGTTGACAAAGTGCCATAAAGAGCAGGAAATACCTGCTGAAAAAACACCGGGAAATAAAGCCAGATAAATAGAAGAATACAAGTATTGTACAGGTAGAAAAAAACACAAAGTGGATGGCAGCCTTCAAGCTCAGAGGGCCAGGACCTGCCTTGCTCTCCTTGACACTGGTGCCTGGCCATTCATTGTAGGTTAACTTCAGACATTTTGCACAGTATTCTGAAGCAGTTATGCATATGTCAGCCTTCTGTGTGAAGATATGTTTCAGGATGTATCAGGAACTGTGCGAGTCAGGTTTTACTGTTTTATTGCATATGTGTTGGGCCTGATCTTCCCTAAAGGCAACGTGCTTATTTTATAATAAATCAAGATTAGATGGGCACTTTGTCTGCAGTTTGCCACATGGAAAATCAGGCTCCTTTTTTTTTTAATGGCTTTTCATTTTAACAATATATATCTTTACAGTGGAGAGGAAGAGGGGTTTCAGTGTAATTTGTTTAAGTGATCAGAACGAGTCAAGTTAATAAACAGGATTAATTTATAAGAATAAATGCAGGAGGAAAAAAATGATTGACTTCAAAAAGTAAAACTCATGGACTAGTCTGCACAACTATAACAGGGCTTCAAAAGACGTTTTAAACAGCTTAATTTCTATTTCTGCCATTCTGTCATGTCTTTCTATGCATACTACCAACAAGCTGATCGTACATGTGAAGCTACATCAGAAAAGCAATAATTATCCAGGCCTTCATTCCTCTGTTGTGCAACATATTATCCTGATTCGGCATTAGAAAATGCAAAGAATACAGTTTTTAGATGTACTGGTCATTTCAGAAAAAATACAGCTGCCTTTTAGAAATAAAATCACTTAATGCCTCTGGTGATTGAGTGTACACATTTAGACTTCTGACAACAGCAGTGAGTCACATTAACAGGACCATCTTGTAACGGGAGTAGATAATTTGTGATTCACTTGATAACCTAGATTAACAGGTGTAGTAACCTGTATAATCCAGAAGTTATACATAATTCACTTTACATCTGGCACCATTACAAGCACTGCACAGTTTTCAATTGGTTTTATTAGTATCTTTTCTGTGCGTTTTGATCAGAAAAAAACAGCTTTTCTGTTTTTCCTAATTTAACAACTCACGCAGTTAGCATGTGAAAATATCTAAACTCTGTCTCGGTTAATGGTCATTGTGTAATTAGGCATGAAAAGAACATGGTATGAAGAAAATGGTAAAAACCAGAAGCCTTATTTGTGTTAATCTTTCATGTGCATGTAGATAGAACGTGGAGTGGATCAGGAATTTCAAGTATGGATGCAAATTGGTACTATTAGGAGCAACACTTTCAAATGCATCAATTTAGTGTATGTAAAATAGGAATTAGTCACCAAACATATTTTCCATATACATTTCCATTCTTTACCTGTTATGGGTACATCAGGCCTGGGCTGTTCTTTTCTCCACGAAGGCACAAATACTGTAATGTCGCTGTGGCCCCGCTCCAGAAAATAGTTCACTGCGAGCTGAATCCCCCGGCAGGAAAACACTTCCTTATTTCCATGGCTAAAAAACAAAACACCTATGATTACTAGTTTTGAAACAGACTAGTGAGAAATGAAGCCTTAAAACAGATATTTTAAAAAATAATGTCTAAAGCCAGAACTGTATTCATTACGGTAGGGATGACTTTGCCCAAGGCCCAGTGTGACAGGAAAGGTGCTCACTCCATGTGATTATCGAACTTTAGAATCCAGTAGCTGTGAGGCTGAGCCGTGTTCATGATAATGTCTCATCAAAAAAGCAGCACTTTCAACAGCACAGTGTCCCTGCTCACTAAACTAGGGCATTGGTACAGAAGAATTGGAAGAAACCTCTACTCCACCAATACTACTTGATCAGGTTTCTGCTTTTTCCTTGAAGGTCCACCATACCAGTACAACTGACAATTTCTAAATGGTATGGGTATACAATGTACAAAAACAACTGTCAATTCTAATAAAAACAAAAACAGCAGTATAAGAAAAAGTTAATAATTTAAATTTTAGGCTCTGTTATAAAAACAAAAACATAATCATCCTAAAACACCACTTTCATGTATACTCAGATACATCAATAAAGAGTTGAAAAGGTATAGTTTTAGCAGACAAGGAAACAACTTTAGCATATTCTGCTTTTTTGATGCTATACATCAGGTAAGGCTTCTTTGTTTTTAATCACAACATGAAATTCTAAAAACCATCATAATTTCCTATATTGAATTAAAACCAAATATAACACAAACAACACAAGAATACCACCAAAAAAAAACACCAAACTATTCCTGAATTAATCTGTCAAATAAATTTAAAAATACAAAACTTGTAGATTGTGAATTAGTAAAAGTTTCTAATGGATCACAAATTCAAAGTTAACCAGAAAGCAGAAAGAAGAGAACACTCCTAAGGTATTCCCGTATCATACTGCAGGGTTAACTGCAATTTTTAAAAAAGAATTAACATTGCAAGAATTAGTTGTACACCTTTTCATTGCTTTTTTATTATTTTTAAAAACAGTAAGGTCTAAAAGTAAAGTCTAAAAAGAAAGTTTTAGTTTTTAAATCACAATTAAATGAAAATCTGAACTTGTTTAATTCCTATCATTGGTTCTATTGTGTGAATGCAGAAATCAATGAATGGTTGAATGGTATGTAAAGAATTCATTAGTATCATTAATTCAGAGTATGGACATTTAGTCAAGCGCAAAAAAGAAGCTGTAATATTAATTTAGATTTATAAGTTACAAATTAAAGAAATATAACTCACATGAAAGGTTATGTACACAATATCTTTCATACTGAAAAATAATACAAAATCCATTACAGTATTATATTTTACCTATTATATTCCGACTATATACAGTACATGCCTTATCTTACCTTTTTACTATTAATAAAAATCTAAAGGCACTGAAACATCCTCTTTTGCAATATTATTTTCTCTGTAATGGGCAACACTTCATTTCACAGTGTGTTCTTCCAGATTGCCACCCTTACAAACATGATATCCGACAGATACAGTAGCTGAAACGTTTTGACTAAACTACGGAATGCTGGGGTATAAAATTTTCTCTTTGACTGCTGACTAAACTAGAATTTTCAGTTTTGCAAAGCTAAAAAACTGGTTTGTCACCAAAAGCTTTGGTTAACAGAACATGGTCCACTCTTTCAAATGTATTTTTATAATGACAAAATAAATCTTTGAACTTTTGTACATTTGTCACAGATGCACATCTTATGAGGTTGTGTCATATGACCATATAAATATGCCACTAACTCAGTGACCAGAGTATAATTCTGAATACCATGTTTGTATAAACGCACGCTAGTCTTTAAAAACAAAATATACTGTAATTCAAATTACCGATACACCAGTGATGTTCAGAAAAATATCTACTTCTCAGAAATGTCAGCAAGCTTCATTCCTTGAGCGCCTATAGACTTCGCAATAGGGCAATACTGCCAAGCCTGTTCAGCCATTACTGTCCATTCTGAAAATTCCCAAAGGAGGAAGTCGTGCTTTGATTTGCATTGAGATTTGCATACACTGAATTTAGTACAGACATACAGCTTACCAAGAAAATTATTCAAAAACAATCTTTAGGTGGAAAGATGAAGGAAGGAAAGCAAATTTCCTGTGCTCTTTGTAATGTTCTGTTTCACCTTTAGACCGGCCCTTGGCTACTTCCTTACAATTATTACTGAAGATAACCTCATGAATCTTTACGACAGAACAAACTCAATCATTGATCCTTTGACTATCGTTTTTGGGGGTATTGCCTTGAGTAAAACCTTACATCTCAAAAGCAGACCGTAGAGATAAAGATACAACAGAGTAAAGACATACAGTATATGGCAAATTAATTAGAAAGATTGATGGTTTGATTTTATACCCTGGCACTCTGAGTGACAGATGAAAAATAAAATAACCTACAGAAGGGCATTAATTGCTCTAGACAGGTGCCTGTAAGTTGTTGAGGTGTGTCTACCAAAACAGTAGGAAACACTTTTATATTATAAGGGGAATCCTGAATATTGTGTCCTGACAGCTTAAAATCATTTCAAATGTTGTGGGCTGTTAAAACCTTACAATTACCCCTGTGCACTCTAATTGCTTGCCAAAGGATTCCTAAAATAACAGGGACTCTCAATAACGCACCGGGTGCCCATCACTTTGATTACCTAGCACAAACACAACAGTTTTATATTCTTCTGAAGTAAAACTGTAAAGAAAGCCATTATTGTTTGCCTTTCTTATAACAGCATGTTTAACAGTAACGTATGGTACAAATCTAAGCTGCGTTGGCCCAAAGTGTCAACCAAATAAGTGCCTAGTAATGTAGAAGTGAATAAAGTGATCAGACAGCCTACAATGTGAACCTGATGAATGTGCATTCACTAAAAATGTCATCGACAAACTGTTGCACATGATGATGGAAGAGAGGAATTTCCCACATTCCACTGTGAAGTCAAATGTTTTCTCACACTATTATTGCTGTGGTATGTCACCACACTGTACGCGGCAAGAATCAAACACCCACACTGTGAAATAAAGTGTAATTCAATTCTGTAAAAAGAACAAGATTTGAAGAGGACTAATGGGTACCTACACACCTCATGGCAACATTGCTTCCGTCGATCACGATCGGTTTCAAGTGACCACCCTCCTCCTCGTCCTCTTCGGGGGGTGGCGGTGGGGAGGCTGATAGGCTGGAGGGGGTTCTGGCTGAGCTGCCCCCTCGAGAAACTAAGACGGGGCCAGTGGGGGATCCAGTGACCCCTTCCCTTTCTGAAGCTGTGGCCCCACACCTGACCAGCTCACCCAGCACCGTATTGGTGTCGGCGTTGACGCCTAGCTTGTGGAGAACCGCCACCACCTCATCAACCGAGTAGCCCAGCTTGCGGAAGAAGTCCACCTGCATCTGAAACTCGCTGGCTTCCAGGTGTGCCACATCTGGACTGCCCTGCTTCTCCTCCCTGGAGGGATAGTGGACGCCTCTGTCCATCCTGGTGATGGCGTGGGAGCCTTTGGAATGTCTAGTTGCAGACGGGAAGCTGTTTAAGGACAGCATATGATCTTCATTTACATATGGTCCATGAACACCTGAGTTTCGCAAGGAAAGGCAAGTCTCAGCAGAGGTCAGTTGTGTTTCTTCTGAGTTCCCAGACCATCTGGGGGAAATCCACTAAAGGGCTTATCTTACGTTGAGAACCATCCAGCTTCATGGTTTCCTCCTCATGATGATCACTTGGGTAACACCTAGTTCCTATAAAAAAAGGTTGAAGAAAGTTATGTAAAATAGTAACAATATGCCAGCACAGTTGCATTGCTATGTGATGCTGATATTTTTTTTTAAGTCTGTGAATATTTGGCCTCACT